ATATATATATATCGATTAACTGATCGACTATTTTCGGATGAAACGGTAACTCGAGGGAAAAATTCATTACGAGCTCGAGACCTCTCAGCATTCACAAGTTGAGCGAAGACAAAATAGCGGTCATTTTCCTTCTTGCGGCATGATTCCTACTCCTTTATCGCTAATAGCAAACTTGTGAAATCCTTTTACCACTCTTTCTGGTGAGTAAGGAACCACTTTATTTCATTTTTATTTATTTATTTATTTATTTTTTTTTTTCATGTTTACAGCAAGTGCCTTGACCGCCAAATGAAACCCGAAGTGGTCTTTCTAGGTCCAGGCCGAAGAAAGGAAAACGGTTGCTACCCAGATTTGATCAACCAATTTCACTTTTAAACGAAACAAAAACTGGAAAATTAATCACAAAACGAAGCAAACCAAAATACAGCGGTCGATGACCTAAGTAACTGTAAGCCAGCTCTTTGGTTCTCAGGTCTACAGCGGTGAACATCTAGAAAAGATTAGGGATGCACGAAAAGGAGTGACTTTTCACCGCACGTACTGTTTTGAATTACTCTTTCGCTTCTCGGAGCGGCTTTTGACATAGGTTCTATACGTTTTAAGAGCACCATCCGCAGCTGTATTTGCAGTATTTTCTCATAATGCCCATACTACTCCGGCTTTTACAAAATCCTTCTCTTGCCAAGTTATGACAATCTGCCACCTCATCTAAGCACATGCGTCCTGAAAATAATCAGATACAAATATTAAACTGAAACAAAATATAGACATTGTCAATCGAGTGTCTAAAGTGATCCGGGATTGCTTGGGTTTTGATTCTACTTTGTGATTGGTCCAGAAAACACACGCCACTTCATCAACCAATCAGATTCAAAACTGAAAGCAATATTGACTTGATCAGTAGCACATTAGACATTTGCTTGTTGTTACACTCGCTGTGATATTTTGTTTTGTTTTGATTAGCTGTGTGATTACGTTGGTACTTGTTTTACGTCAATCAAACGAAAATTGCTCTGATAATAAGCAGTGAATAAAGTAACTATTGAAAACACCTTGACTTGCGATGGTGCTGTGTAATTATGGCAGCAGCTCACTTGCTTCTCATATTTTAATGTTAAGGATCACTTAACGTTCATTTTGTGGTAGTGTCGCCCCATGGGCGCTTATCGCTTATAGCATTTCTTCCTTCCTCTTTAACCCTCCTTCCCCTATCTGTTTATTTGCGCTCTGAATATGGACATGGCCTTTATAACCAGCCCCATCTCTTTTGCTCTTCCTGCGTGACGGACTGAGAAAGAGATATGGAAGCTCTGCTCTCTTCTCTAACAAGTGGACAGCTACCTTATTATTTGACGTGAGGGGTGGGTCACGTGATCTGAGATAGTGCAGGCAGACATCTTGAACAACTTTAACCTATCATAGAGCTCTATTTTACTATTTTAACTATTTAGTATATGTTCTATCTCCTTAAGTGTATTTAACTTCCACCCATCAGTAACTGCTCCGTGGTAGTGGCCAACTGGAAAGCTTGGCTCGTTTGGCTACTACACACTCTTTCCACTGCTTTGTGTAAATTCATGTATAGTTAAAACTCTCCTCTTTTATTTTCTACTTTTTCTCTTTCTCGTTGTTGTATTCTTAGTAGAATAAGTGTGAATAAAGAATGAATGAATGAATGAATGAATGAATGAATGAATGAGTTACTTACTGGACTATTCCGTGACTTTGTTATTGTTCTTTTGTTGACTTACCCTTTTCATATCCCCCTGCCATACAAGACTCCCTACAATTCTGTAACATAAACTCTTGGTGAAGGAAACAATCACCGTTACGCACCCACTGTTTACATTCTCTTGGCATTCTATCACGTGCTGTCTTCTCAACTGAGGAAAGTATTCAGATGTGATTTTGTAAGTAAACTCAGGTTCAATCAAGTATTCAAATAATAGGGAGATTTAGCACCACGTTCTAGGCGATGCGGCAAACGTCAGCTGCCTTAGCTTCGTGTGGGCTCACGTCAGGGTGGATTTGAAGGTGCCCTGGTAAGACTTGCAAGGGGTAGTTTTGGTGCCTTTTTGCGGCCACTTAACTTCTACTCGGCGACGGAAAAGTAAAGAAAATCTTACGTACACGGCAAACGCAAAACAGGTTACTTCGCGTAGAAACGGAAAAGCCGAACCGGCAAGCGTGAAAAAACGGCGGGAAAAAACAAGGTCACGTGACTCTTGTCGTTCACGTTTCAGGTAAACGCAATGCTAAATCTCTCTAATAAATATACGATAAGATGAATAATACGCGCATGTTGATTGGTTCTTGCCTATGAATAAGAGACGCATAGATGACGTCAGCATTAACAATATTTTTTTTTTTATCATATAAAAAAAATAGATTCCATGTTGCCATGGTTCTGTACAGTCAAATATCACAGAAGAAGTAAAAACGAACGTCAGTGACACACTCAGTGCGCCTCGTGTGCGCCTCGTGTGCACCTCGTGTGCCACTTTTTTGTTGGAATGGGACATTAACGTCACAAGCTAGCTATTTGTTCAGAGTGGCCAACTCACATTTCAATGAGCATTAGAAAAAAAAGTTAAAGCTTCAATTGCGTGTGGTCTGTCCTTTATATCAGTGGGAGTCTCATACTGATTATCTCCTATCCTTTCCATTCTATCTAACCTCTTCCTTGGGACCTTGAGACTTTTTTCAACTGACAGTTGTAACTTTGAGGGCTTACAGTTTTATATTGGCGAAGCTAGTCGCCACTTCTCTACTAGTATAAAGAAGCACACGGAAAGCGATAAAAACTCGCATATTTTTAAGCATTTTAACACATCTCCCTCTTGTAAGAACAAATACTACCTTTTTTGCTTTGGTATTCTGGATTCTGCTAACAACTCAGTTGATTTAAAACTCAAAGAAGCTTTTTATATAAATAAGATCAAACCTGAACTTAACAAACAATTACAGTATTATAACGCTTTTCTAGCATTTTAGTTCACACCTTTAATTTCATGTTTGTTGTCACGCTGTAATTAGTACCCGCTTTTTTATTACATCATACTGTAAATATTTTATTAATCTACTTGTCTGTTACATAATTACTCACGTTCAGTTACTCATTGATTGAAGATGGCATAAGCATGCCGAAACATGTCTCTGAAAAAAGTTGTATATTTCTTACAATGCGTATAGTTTTGTTACACGAAAAATTTCAGGAAGGGGCTTTACAGCATGAATCAATGACATAAGAAAACAAAACCACCTCCCTTTAAAGGATCTTTCAGTCGATCAGTCGCTGTCAGTGAATATCTCTATCATATTTCAGTTCATTTTTTATAGACGACGACACAGGACATTTACCAAGGTCGGTCAGGAATTGACTAGGGGGAGGGGGGTGGGGGTGCAAGGATTTTTTTCGGAATCACAAGGTTTTCAGGGAGAACGGAGGGAACTATAGAAGAACACCTGACAATGAGGGATGAGAACCAAGGGGGGGGGGGATGTCATTGGTAAACTACAGAGTCTTTTTTTTGCGGGAAGGGGTTAAGGGTTTTTAAGTGATACTTACTTGTTGATTTGGCGCATTGTTTGCAAGACCAACGACAGAATGCAAACATAAACACGGCGTTATCGTCACAATCTCCTCTTCTAGCCCAGTCTGCACACATTGAGCTGTAATCCTTGCATCCTTTGAGGGTAACTGGGATGGAATGAGATACGAGCATTTCATGAGCCTGAGTTTCATCATATTTTACAATTACTCGCCGAAGGCGAGGTGAATATCGTCGAATAATCCCCGAGACGAAGTCGAGGGCATTATTCGACAATATTCACCGAACCTGAGGCGAATAATTGTTTTAGTATAATTTCAGAGCTGAACAAAAGAGAAATGTCTAAAATCATAACATTTTAGTAACATTTATTAACATTTTATTCTAACATTTTATATAAACCGCGTGAGCAGTTTATATAGCGTCATATAAGGAACCGCTCGACCAATCAGATTGCTGGAAACTCTTTGCTCAGCTCGGAAATTATACTAATGATAAATATTTGAAGACAGTCATTTCTGGCCTCGAGAAATGACCCAAGTCTGCCACCTGGAATCGCGCTGAGCTCAACAAACTTTGCTTTCTGATGAAGGGAGTTTTCTGGACTAATCACAGAGCGAAAATAAGCAAAACCGAGGCAATCATGATTTCAAACGATGGAAAGCCACCAGGAATTAAATCGTTTAAAACTACAGCCCTATACACCGAATGCAAATGGCGTCCAATTTGAATTGCCACTGTTCTGGACTGACTAGCCCCGTCTTCACGTGGAAACACAAAAGGATTATTACATGTGTGAGAGGCTAGTCAGTCCGGAACAATGGCAATTCAAATTGGACGCCATATTTGCATTCGGTGTATACTTACCTAACTTCATAGGCGCACACTTGTGGCAACTCCATGGACACATCTCGTTCATTTTCTCAGGATCCTTTTGACACAATCCCTGCTTTGCCCACTGTTGACAATCATCATTCATATCGTCGCACTCTCCCCAATGAAAATATTTCTCGTTAACTTCTCTTATATCTCGATATACTACAAAAAAGAATTTCATATATGCCATTTAGGGTACGAGCAAAGTTAGACAGTGACAACCTTATTTCTCGATTAATAATGTACATGAAAAATTACGCGCTTCTGATTGGCAGAAAACGAGTGATGTAAATGTAAATTAATCATAAGTAATAACATGATATCTCGTGTGATTTGGTGTGAATAAGCACTTGTAAATTTTTTTTAAAGCCTGCAAATTTCACCCTCCCGCTCATGCAATTTTGTTGCCTTTGAAAAATTTACTTGTGCTTTTAACACCAAATTACACTCGAAATCATGTTTGTATAGGTAATCACATGATTTCGAGTGCAATTTGGAATAAATAAGCACGAGCAGATTTTTTCAAAGACTAACAAAATTGCATGAGCCCGTGAGGGCGAGTGCAATTTGTGGTATTTGAAAAAATTTACAAGTGCTTATTTATTCCAAATTGCACGAGAAAATCATGTGATTATCTGTTAATAATATACATGAAAAAATACGAGGTAGCTTCTCACAACTACGCAGAAGAAAAGCGCGCGCATCATGTGCAAAAATAATTTATTCAAACTCTGCAAGTGACATTGACCTTGACATTGACCTTGACATTGACCTTGACATTGACATTGACATTAACCAATCATTCTGACCAATCAGAATGTCTGGTTTGTTTCTTTCTTTGCACTGAATTAACCCTCTTCTGCACTAAATTAACTCTCTTCTGCACTGAATTAACTGAAAACTGCATTCATCTTAACCAATCAGAACAGAGAAATTTTTTCATGTATATTATTGATACCTATACAAAATACGGGGTTTTTTTTTGTCAAAACTTACATTTTGGAAAACAGTAGCCCCATCTCTTGTCCATGTTGTAGTCGGTTGTTGTCGCACACCATGTTTGCTTATTAAAGTGCAAACAGTTGTACACGAGTCTTTCTTTGTAGAAAAAAGGAAATTTGCAAGGTCGTCCTCGCCCATTTCCTCCAAAAGTGCATAAGCCGCAGGATCGTGCACACTTTTGGCACATGTACGGGGCATTGACCACACATTCGCCTTCCTGAGCCCAAATTCCGCAACGACTATGAAGGTCAGGACAATCGGTTACGTCCTTGTCTGTCTGACAGTGACCCCATTTCTTATCTCTATCGTAGTTTTTGGTGGTTGCACACCAAGACAGGTTATGTTTGCAGTCCTTGAAGGTGCACGATGTGTAGTTCTTGCCGTCGTAAAAAAATGGGAAGACGCAAGGGGCGTGATTGTCGTTTCCCGTTAACGTATAGACTGGAGAAAAAACGAGAAGAATGGCGTTATTTGGCAGCAAATTATGCTATCTTTTGAAGCAACTGAGTACTCGACAATGTCTTGCTTGTAAAGGAAAAGGACAGTTTTGCAATCTAGGAAAATGGCCCATACTGCCAAAGTCTATCTCGGTTTGACTACCTTAGTGTGACAGAAGCCTTCCTACTCTCCGATTAGGATGCTAGGCTCTCCAACACTTTCTCAAGCTTCCCCGAGATTTTCAGGTATTCATCTGTCTGCACTCGAAAATGAAAGGCAAAGTCGCCTGCCCAAGAACACAGCCCAATGACCTTGACCAGCGTTCGAACCCGAACCTTTTGCACCGTAGTCTAGCGCGCTAACTTTTAGTTTCTAACGTTTATCCTCAGTTGTAACTTGGTGACAGTATTAACAAATGGTAAACACCACAGCGTACACTACTGAGTTATAGATGCACGCGGGAGGTTGCTAAGCACGAAAGAAGTGTAAGAGTCGCTCGAGGCGATAGCCTCGAGCGACTC